TGCCTGAGAAACAGCAGATCTACTGCCAGAAATGCAACGCATACTAGTGGCTTTCTTCTCTGCTTAACTATATTTTATTACCAGTAAACTACAGTTTATATAACGGCAGAAAAGAAATTGTGGAAGCCGTTTCTGCCCAGCCACGGAGGGTAGATCAGCTCATACACAAGACACTCCTGAACAATACTTCAGAAGATGAAACACATGCAACACTAAATAATACGTCGGTAAATAAAACAAGAATCGCATGCAGCAGACATAAGACATAACCGCTAATAACAGCGGTTATATCGGGTGCAAATATAGGGGATCATGGTCCCCGCTGCCCAGTCTTAGAACTGTTCTCATTAACTAGAAAACAATTACGCGAATAGGAACTGTTAAGAAACACATAGGAAAGTAAACGTTAATGTTTACTGAAAGCAAACGTACGTAAGATTTATCCGCCATCTTTATGAGATAGAAAAGAAGTCCTAACAGAGTGCAAAACATATAACGGACTTCCGTTTGACACTCACATGAGGGAACGGTAGTTTGTCTCTGTGTGGTTTTCTACTAAGTTACCATCTGGTTGTGACATTGGATGTGATGGTGGGTGTTATGGTAACGGTGATGGAGAACTTGGGAAATGGTTGCAGTGATACAGTAGTGGTAGTGGTGGTGGCCTTGAGATAAGATTTTGCTCGGACTTCAACCCCGGAGGCTTAGCATCCAGGATAACCCAAGAAAGTCAGTGCGTCATCGAGGACTGTCTGTCTTATTGCCATTGTGGTCCTCAATCTTGTCCCCCAGGATACCGCCCACAACAGACCACTAACACCCAGGTAACTACTTCTTTGCTAGGCGAACAGGGACAGCAGGTGTAAGGAAACACGTCCAATGTTTCCACCCGGCCGAGGATTGAACCACGGACACTGTGTGAGGCGAGAGTGTTACCTACCAGGCTACGGGTCGTAGATGATGGTTGTTATATTAATGGTTATCTATATATTAAGTATAATTATGGAGGCGGTAATATTAATTATCGTAATCATGCGTAACTTCTCAAGTGCGCATTATGGGCGAGAAGGATCAAAATATCGCACATCCGGACAACAGTGAAGACTCGATACATGTTTCAGAACTGAAGATTTTATTGGGGCAATAAAATGTTCTTATCTATATATGACTGCATGGTTCAGGTCTTAGCTCCTGGCCCTGCATGTGTGTACTCACCTACTTGTACTCAACTATTTGTGGTTGCAGGAGTCGATTCACAGCTCCTGGCCCCGCCTCTTCGCTGTTTGTGTGTGTACTCAACTATTAACATTCACCTATTTGTGGTTGCAGGGGTCGAATCCCAGCTCCTGGCCTGGCTTGATAACTTGCAGTCTGCCGAGTTTACTTCTTCCAGGCCTCGTAGGCCTTATATACCTTTTCTTAAAGCGATGTAGGAAGTCTGCCCGAAATGCTCATGCATGTTAGTGGCTTTCTTTGTCCTTAACAATACATTACTACATGTAAACAACACATTCTATACTACACAAAGACATATTTTTTTTTTTAATTTAATTTTATTGGAAGGACACAGAGAGAGAGAGAGAGAGAGAGAGAGAGAGAGAGAGAGAGAGAGAGAGAGAGAGAGAGAGAGAGAGAGAGAGAGAAAGTGTGTGTAGAGGGACTACAGAGGGAAGGATGGAGGGTGTTTTGGAAGGAGATCGAGAGAAAAAGGATGTATTAGAGGTGGGGAGGGAAGGGGAGAGGGAGTGGGAGAAACCATTAGCTGATGCTGGTGCAGGATTGTTTACCTATGACGTCACGGATGGACAGATCCATTAGGCAGGCGGGGGAGGGCGTGAGGGAGCATAACATGTCTTGCTGAAGGTTAATCACCTTACTATGGCATCTCCAAGCTATGAATGCTCTTACCCAGTCTTCTCATTATAATTAATAATAATAACAGCAGCAGCAGTTGTTCTAGATGCTATTGTAGTAGTTGGAGCAGTAGTAATAGTAGTAGAAGTCGGAGCAGAAATAGTAGCACTAGCAGTAGTAGCAGTAGTAGTAATAGTAGTAGTATTAGTAGTATTCAGCGCTGTATGACCCTTATGGGTATAGCGCTTAGTTATGATTATTATAATGCAGTAGTAGTATAGTAAGAGACGTAGTAGAAGTAATTCCGGGGGTGAACGCCCCTCCCTTAGCGGGGGGCGTTTACCCCCAGCACTCCAGGTCCAGAGGTAGCTGCAATGAGGCAGTTCAAAATGAGTATATCAGGGCAGAGCTGAAGAACAAATAACGAGCAGCAGTTCCAAAGATTTTAGATCTTACCGCCGACGCGGCTAATTGATCGTGCACCTTACATCCATCCTGAGGACGTAGATAGGTAACTGAGAGTCGTCAGGAAACAGGACAAGTGTTTCCTGACGCGGATCATAGTCATATGATGACCCACCACTGTTGCTTTTGGTCATCTGACCAAGGCCTTCCGCTGGCTTACCGATCCACCCCTTTAAAAAATATTTTTTTAATATAGAAGGGTAGCGCAAGAGCATATGCCTACACAAAAGGCTTAGGAACTAGGCCCCCCAAAATAACAGGAGTATATCTGGACTTATCTTTACATTTGACGTAACTGTTGCAAGCAAATTTACGAAATTTGCGTAATATGTCCGGTATCTTATTTTCATTAATACGATATCGAAACATATCACACAAGTTATTATACAGTCTTATATTATACAGTCTATCTCTATATTCCTCAGAAAGTGGACAATTAAGCACTTAATATACGTATCGCAGTGAGTGATAGATCTACTCAGGCTTCTAACTGCATTCTTATAACATTCACTGCGCTAGCTCTATCGCTAGTTCACTCAGCTCACACACTGAGGTCCGGGGTTTAATTCCCCGGTACGGTAGGAAACATTAGGACGTGTTTCCTCAAGACACCTGCTGTCCCTGTCCACCCATCAGTAAAGTGGTTACCTGAGTGTTAGTCGACTGGTGTGAGTCGCATCCTGGGACAATATTGACCTAATTTGCGGAAAATGCTCAGCATAACAAGCAGGTTTCTATATAGTAGTATGTCATTGATGTCAGCTAGGACTGTATACCTTGTACATGTAGAAACAAAGTTATTAACATCCAAAGGAACACGTAATAAGACAGAGACAAAGACGAACGTGAAAGACAAAGTAACCATTGCGCTTTGGTAAGTCAGTAATAAGTCTCTTCCTTAACTCGATCAATAATGACCCGTGTATTGAACTATCGTCAGTCATCTAACATGAAAGAATATATGCATTATTATTATTATTATTTTATTATTATTAATTTTATTATCATTTTATTACTTTTATTATATTTATTAATAAATGACTAAAAATTATATTCAATAATTATAATGTAAATATTCATAATACATAATATAATATGAATGTTATTTTCAAGATCAAATTCGTATGCCATAAAGCAGAATAAATAATATAAAATAAAACAAAGCGGCTTCATTTTTGTTTACTTTGAAATTTAATTTTGAGACGGGACGTAATATTTGTTTTTTTTCTTCATTCAATGGAACTTGAGAGTACAATAAATCTCAGGCGAGTCAGAGATCAGCGAGAAGAGAAATAAATTCATTATTGTGACAGTTAGCCGCCGCTAGGCTTCAAGCTAAGGACACCATGGACTTTGGGACGTTATGAAACTAGGGTCACGATGGAACTAGGGACGCTAGGAGCTGCTGCTGCTGCTTTTTCTGCTGCTGCTGCTGCTTTTTCTGCTGCTGCTACTGCTATTGCTGGTGGTGGTGCTATTGCTGTTGGTGGTGCTATTGCTGCTGCTGGTGCTGTTGCTGCTGCTGGTGCTTTTGCTGCTGCTGGTGCTATTGCTGCTGCTGGTGCTTTTGCTGCTGCTGCTGCTGCTATTGCTGTTGCTGTGTCTAGTCGCCCGTAATACTGGAGCATCCGTCAGGTTGGGCGGCTGCGAGAGGGAAGCTTACCCAGTGGCACAGATCAAAGCCATTGATTGGATCCTTACTGAACCACCAGGGAGTCCAATCTCCTTAGGATTGGTTGAAGTGGCAGCTGCACTGCCGCTGCTCCGATGTCACGAAAAAAAAAAAAAATTATATATATATATATATATATATATATATATATATATATATATATATATATATATATATATATATATATATATATATAATATATATATATATATAATATATATAATAATTCTTTGGGACTGCTGTCAGACGAAGCTTTGCGAGTCGGGGAGTCAACGTGTCACAAGCCTACCAGATTAGGCCATTTTTACCACTTTCTTCCACCCTAGTGTTAAATAACAGTGGCAGAAACTACTACTGTATTAACAAAAATTAAAGAGAAAACAGAAACTGAAAATTAGAAGCAGTTAGGCATGTGAACTGGCTCTCAAGGAATTATTTAGTCAGACGTAGTCATGTATAGGTCACGTTGCTATATATAAATCTCTTCATTTATTTAACACTCAAGATGTAAGAGCTTGTTCAAGTGTTAGGTGTAAGCTAGAGTTTGCGTTGATGTTACCTCTGAAATGATTAATAATAATAATTATAATTTTCGCTCTCTTAGTGCAAATCTTAAACAATGCTACATGTGGAACAGATGCTGTAAATGATAAGATTTATGTTTCCAGACATACATACTTGGCAGGTTGACTGGCTTATGAAAAAAAAAAAAAGATATTTCTACCATTCGTATTATGTAGGTACTGCGTACATTCTTTACAAAGTGCATGAGTTTTCTCCTCAAAAAATCTCTTTGTATAAAAACTCTTATATGAAAACGAATTCATAAAATTGTAAAGCTTAAACAATATACGAACACCTATAACAGAGCTCCAAATAAGTTTACAGCATCTGTCCTTCTTTGTATAATTGCAGACAATTGAAATTTTTGTATCCCTAAAATTCTAGCTTAGTAACATCATCATATTCTTGTTTATTGCCATGCTAAGCAGCGTTTCCTTTCACACAGAGACGGGAGCCGAGGCAGGATGCTCATCTCGCCAAAGGTTGGTGATCTCTGTGGGCTCAGCAACTGGCTTGTCTCCCTCGCCTTCTTCCTGCTGGTACATCTTGAGCAGACTGTGAGGTGTGAGCAGAGAACTACGGTGTCAGCAACTTGGCTTCAACACACTCTCCAGTTACAGCCCCTTGCGCGTCCAAGATTTCCTCCAGTAAGGCAGGAAAATATGGAAATTGGGAAGTATAAAGCCAGAAAGCCAGTGATGTATAAACCTCCGACAGATATGAAGTCTGAGCTTCGGAGACCTTTGAATGGTCGAGAATCAGAACCCAGAAGTTACAGAAGACCTGTGATATATGGAGCTCCGAGACATGAAAGTCATAGTACTCAAATACCAGTGAAGTACTTGCCACGGAAACCTGTAGTGTACAACGCCTCGTGGTTCCCTGGAAAGACCATCACAGAGAGAACCACACTTTATTTCCCTACAGAAAGAACATCTACCAGAAATTCTTCAATGGAGAACGAATATCTTCCCATGAATTTTGGGTTCTTGAAAGAGCTTCCCGCTAGAGGATCTGCGGGAGGTTTCCGAGAACAGACAGGAAATCAAGGAACCTTGGTGAGGGATCATGCTGGGCGGAAAGTTTCCCCAGATGACTGGAAGTTCTCCGGAAGTCTTCGTGGTGGTGATTCCAGACGACTGAGGCGAAGCAGACATTTAGCTGGAAGAAGCGAGGAGACACAGCAGTCACCACATAATAAACAATGGAACAAGATTGATATAACGTCACCATCTCCTTTTACAGATAAAAATGAGGGCAGGCGAAAGTTTTTATACACGAGAAGGAAGAAATTAACTTTGAAAATTAAAGAAAAACTCAAACTAATACATAGTGAGAGGGGATTTGTGATAGATTATACGAAAAGAAAGAAAAAAGTCAGAGAAAAGTGTGAGTCTGAGACAAATGCGACACGTAAAAACATAATGATTATAAGTGGCCCTCATAGTAAAAAGTTCTCGAGCCATGAGAGTGAAAACATTACAAGTGATTTGCCCAATAACTTTGATAATAATGGGAGAAAAGAAGACGATATTAAGAACAGTAGCTGGAATCAAGACTCAGTGGCTCTGGGACAGCATACCCACCTTACACCAGCTGCTAGTGCCATAGTAGCAAGAAATAAATTTGTGAGCACGAGATTAAATCTATTAGCGAGGTCTTCAAACTTCCCTGACGACGCACGAGGGTTCCAGGAAATGATTGAACATGAGCTGCCACTTCGAGTGGTCCCAAAGTGGCATGCACGTATGAAAAGAAGCTGGAAGATAAAAAGCTCTACACCGACCCGGGATCTTTACAAGGAGAACGAGGGTGGTTCACTCAGTCGCAACGGCGGTCGTTACCTGCAGTACTTCTCTCCAGTTGAAACATATCTGGATACGACACACACATCGGCCCACACAGAGAAGAAAGACAATACTCACGTGGGAGTAGTTTTACACAAAATACTACAGATTTCTCATATATGGCAAAGGGGATTACAGAGACTCCAAAGTTCCTCATACCCTTTACCCTGCGAGGTGAAAGTCAAGGAGGATCTTAACCCAGAGCCCGATATTCTATATCGACCAGTGAGAAGACGGCTTCTGGCCAGGGACGTTTCCAAGTGCCTGCTGTATCAGCCAACGAGAAGACAGCTGTCTTGGGACAGTACCAAGCATCTTCAGTATCGCCTAACGAGAAGACTACTCAGTCTGTTGTATCGACCAGTGAGAAGTTATCTTGTGGCCTTGGACAGTTTCAGGCTACCAATGAAAAGTCAATTCTTATTCTTGAACAGCTCTAAGCAGCCAATGAGAAGACAGCTCTTGACTTTCTATAGTTCCAAACGATCAATGAGAAGGAAACTCTTATCGTGGGACAGTTCCACTCAGTTTGTGCCCCGTTCCCTGGGACGGGGTCAAAGGAAGATAAAACTACATGACAGTGAAGTAGACGGATCTCTTGCGGTGAATGAAAACACTAACGGAAAACCTGTGCTCAGAAGCATAGTGGAGCAAGCTAAGATGAGACTAAGTAAAACAAAAACATGCAATATATCTATAGGTCTTAAGAAAAGTTTACAAGCGAGTACTAAATGTAAAATAGAAAATCCTGACAGTATAAGTGCAAGAAAAAATTTCGAACTATCAGATGACAAGAGTGATACAACCAACACATATACTAATAGAGCTTCTTGCAATCTGTCGACGATTCTATGCTGGACAAGAGAGAGTAATAATATCTATTCAGAAGAGATTGTAAGAATTAAAACCCTAATTTTCAATACTGAAAAGGAGTCAGATTCCCTTACTCAGGAAAGTGAAAACTACATTTATTCAGCACCAGTTCATTCCCTATGTTTTAATAGGCTGCACCTTACAAAGAATGATAGGCTATGTTTAATATTAACTCTCCGGGTGCCAGGTAGCCAGAGAGTAATCAAAATGTCCTTGATGAGGTTTGATAAGTGTGTCAGATGCACGTTCACTTCGGAATGTCAAGCATTGGGAACTGTGTTCAATGGTGGCAGTAGTCGAGGCGATGGTGGTGGTGGTGGTAACTGTTGGTACTGCATTCAGGTTCAGCCTCCATCTGGAAACACGAGCTGGTACACTAACTCAAGACAAAAACAAACTTTTCCTGGCAAACGTCACTTAAGATGTCACATTTGGCTCGGTATCAGACCATCGGGTTTAGTGACCAGATACACTCGCATCATTACCCACCCAGGGGCGACTCCGCGGCCACTGACCACTGTTATGGGTCGTTTACCTCATCATTTGATGCTGCTTTGTACAGTAAAAATTGACAACACCAAGGTCAATGACCTGCCACGGACACGGACGATGCTAATCAAATTCTCAGTGCCACTAATGGCGCAGGTCCAGCTGTCAGATCTTCGAAGAGCGAAGATCCAGTTTCTCAGGATTAAGAACGGCACAGATCCAGTTCTCGGGACCACGAACCTCTGAGCTTCAGGTCACAGAAATAAGGATGCCTCGGGTTAAGCCGTCTGGAACATTGGCCAAGGAGGAAGGGCCTAGCTTGTCAGAAAATGAAAGTAAAGAAAAGAGAATACACGTTTATGATCGGCTTTCACAGCTTAGCATTTCGAATCTACTGACATTTAGGTTTGAAAAGAAACCAGATGGCCCGACTACCACAGTAGAAGCAGTAGATTATAAACAATACCACAAATCAAACGAAGCTAAGAAAAAACAAGAATTATTACGTAAGGTAACTAGTAAGATCCTACCTGTGATACACATACAGGAAGGAAACTCACAGGAAGATCACGAATCGGGTTACTCAAGTCTCCATAACGTGACTATCCGAAAGCCTTTGAGGGAATTTAGCGATGAAAGGGAGAATCAATTAGGGTTGATTGACCCAGAAGAGGTTCCATTTTATCCAATAGTGACTTCAAAAAATGTGAAGCAGACCTATCGTGATCTGCAGAGGAGTGCTGATAGTGGTAGCAATTCAACCCACACAATACTCAGAGGAAGAGAGAGAAACAGACATTCACATGACATCAGGTTCAAAACTATGCGAAATAAACGGAAAGCGAGAGCTCGACGCAGCATCGGAAAGACGACCAGAGAGCGAAATAAAATTAAAAATAACACTGGAATCACATTGGGTATTGAAAGCAACACAAGAAAAGAAAAAAAGGTCGAGAGTGAAAGAGGAATCAGACGGAGAGTTGAGTCAAATATGAGAAAGGAAAAACCAAAGTTGAAACGTATGAATCGTGGCCACCGTCGAAGGCGTAGGAGAGGCGTTAAACATTCCTTATCTGACTCATCAGAACGCGTCGAGTTTGTGCAAACTCCAGCGCCAAACCTTAGCGCAAGCACATTTACAACCCTACTACGACATTCTCATAAAGCGAAAAATAACGTACTTAGTGATAGTAAAAGAACACTGCCAAGAAACATTACCAGTAACTCTAACATTACCAGTAGTTCGAATATTACCAGTAGGTCTAACATTACAAGTAGGAAAAACATTACCAGTAACTTTAACTTAAGCTTCTCTATGTGGCGAGGATATAATTATAATGGGCACAATCTAAAAAAAGGTAATGCCTCCCAGCAAAGCCAGAGCACCCATGTTACCCTTACTTCCAAATCTAATATCACCAAGAACCCCGAATCTCAACTTGAAGGCAACTCTTCAAGGACAAGATGCTCCTCATGTTTGATTGAGCATTCACCAGGTATCTCGAGACAAAGAACGAACCTCATACATTTCACACGTTACCTAACAGGGAAAAGCACTCCTTCAGCCTCTTTATACCCACCCGAGAACATCCCAGAGGACCCTCCTAGTAGGAGAGAAAGTAGTCAAGGTCTCAAGGGCCTACGAGATCAAGTGTTAAATCACAGGAAACTTGCAACCTATTTTTCCACCTCTTCGGAAACGGAAGTTGGACCTAAAAATGCTGGAATTACAGACAGATATAATAATACTGATGAGATTTTCGACGGAATTAGTCCTGGAGCCATCTCTGTCTTAAATCATACAAATATCAACAGCAACGGCAGTGATACTTATGTTACCATACCCCTCAACGATATTTCACTGGCATCTGTAATGCAAAGTAATACTGTAAATTCTCGGAAAAGAAACAAAATTAGTGATAATAAGCAGGGTGAAGGGACTAATAGAAACTTAGCCATAAACAACATCGGCCATGTATTTACGATGAGAAATGATAACTCAGAAGGCAGCTCCTCGGCGTCCAGTTCTCAAGGAACTGATTTTGAGAGCCTAAGAACTGAGACACACATTTTTCCTCCTGTCTTCGAGGAATACATCGACGAGACTTCCGATTCGTCAGTGGTTTTCAAAAATCCTCTTCTCTCACGGAAGATGAAGCACAAAAGTCTAGACAATGAAACCCTCAATTCCGTAGTGCACAAAAACAAACAAGAATTCTCAGAAGACGGGGCACTAAAACACTCCTCAGATCTCACGAAGAACGAGGCGCTGAAACACTCCTCAGAGCTTATGAATAATTGGGCAGTTGAACACTTCACGGCGCCCAACAACGCTTCACAGTTCATTAGTAAATCAATAGAAATTCATTCCCTATCTAAAGAATTCCAAAGAGAAACGAGTGGTCAGGTCACCAATAAGGAGTACTTGGATGTGTTGAAACATAGAATCAGCAACGTACTTCTTCACTCCAAAAGTCAGACACCCAATTTAAATCCAGGAAGGAATCGCATTTGGTTACCCCTTAATTATAGAATGACTCCAGACGGATCAACATTTCGACGTAATTCCTTTGGAAATTATGTCAGTCCTGAACATTACACAGCCAAAACAGCAACAGCAGGTGACTTAAATTCTGTGACAGGATATCGCCCTCAAAATTCGTCTATACAACCTGGTTTTGCAAATAGACATAAGGGTAGTCTTAGACCTGAAAATAGCAATGTTAGCTTTCAGAGCTCTTTTGAGCAACCCCAAAAGTACCTACCTGACTTCGAGCCAGGTCAGTTTACACCTAAAGAACGTTCCCAGAGACATTACCAGCCTCCAGTTCGCTTCCCTGCTGATACAGTACCACAAGATGATGTAGAATATCCACGAGTGTACCAGCAGATATCTACACACAATGACCAGCAGCTACCCCAGTCTACAAATTCCAGACAGTTAGACTTTCGTCCACAATATGCAGGTCACAGTTATTATCATGGTGCAGTAGGTAGCGAGTTTGAAGAAACAAGGCCAAGCCAGAGTCATACTTCTGGCTACACTACAGATCATGAGAGTAATGCGATGGATGAGGCATCAGCCTACTGGAATGACACATCGTCCAACATTTCACAAGGGGTCTCTTTAATTTACACTAAACTTTCAGCTACTGCATATTACCCTCAGGACCATTACTTAAATCAGCTGCAAAATGATCCTCCAGAATACATATTAAGTCAGCCTAGAGATGTGGCAGCCAGGAGAACATCAAGCTTTACTGCACATCACCTCAAAAAACACCAGCAACCTCGCCACGTCAAACGCAGCAGGAATCATAACAACTGGCCTTTCAGACAAGCTCAACAATGGATTAGACACACGAGCAGCTCTGGAGTGGCAACAAGACCGGAGAGAGTGGTGCCTATCCTGGGTCTGTTTGATCTGAGTGTGCGGGGTGAGCCAAGACAGGGAGGGAGGGCGGAGCTGGCCGCTGCCCAGCTCGCCCTCACACACATCAACGAGCAGCACGTCATTCCTGGCTACAAGCTTGTTATGTTCCACAACGACACCAAGGTTAGTCTTTCTCTCACGCTATACACATAAACACAACCTTGTTTCCACGAGCAATAATCGCAACCTAGTTTCAAAAAGACACAAAAGCGGTATTATGCTGTAATTTATGGACGATCTTTCACCCACACTGCATTTTATCAAGTAATTAACATAAACCTGGAGACGGAGGATGAGTGTGTGTGTGTGTATATATATATATATATATATATAAATATATATATATATATATATATATATATATATATATATATATATATATATATATATATATATATATATATATATATATATATATATACATACATATATATATATATATATATATATATATATATATATATAATATATATATATATATGTCGTGCCGAATATGTAAAACTGGTCAATTAGCAAAAACTCATTTAAAATTAAGTCCTTTCTGAAATTTTCTCATACGTTTAAAGATATATTTTTTTCATTAATGTTGATGTAAAAAATTATAATTTTGCACCAAAAGAATCTTAGAAAACTTACCTAACCTTATTATAACAAGAACAATTTATTTTAGCCTAACTCAACTAAATATATTTTAGATTTGTTTACAATAATTTAATACTAAACAAACACAGTGAAATATATTTTTTTCGTTAGGTTCAGAATGATTTTGGCGAAATTATTGCATAAACAAATTTTCACTTGTCCTATATGGCAAGATGAGCGTTGCTATTTAAGCCAAGATCGCAAGTTCTGCCTATTCGGCGCGCTTCTTTTTGATTATAATAATAATAAAGTTGCCTATTCGGCACGACATATATATATATATATATATATATATATATATATATATATATATATATATATATATATATATATATATATATATATATATATGTATATATATGTACATATATATATATATATATATATATATATATATATATATATATATATATATATATATATATATATATATATATATATATATATATATATATGGTAAGGATAAGGAAAGCTAAAATTTGTTTTAAGTGGGAAACTATATTATTAATAGTAGTAGGAGCAGTATGTTGTGTTATTATTATTATTATTATGATTGATATATTTACTAAAGGAAAGGCATGTGAGAGCCTTGTTAGTGGCAGATAAGCGAGGTATTCTAGCACATAACCCACGACCTTTGAGGCAACAACTAGGTCTCACACGAAATCTTTGGCATTCTCAAAAACTTTCGAGCAAAAGTTATTTTTTTCAATTTAACCTGAAATAGACTTTCAAGTTGATGGACTCTATCAAACGCATCCCATCTTAAACTAGAGTCAAAGTTTAGATGCAAAGTGAAACTCAATTTAAAGGTCAATTCTTTGCCATAAAAGCAACCTGAAGTGATTACCAATCAGGTCAAAACTTCTCGACTTGTACTCATGTTTGGTCGTCGAGGTCAGCTCAGATGTGTAGGTGTGTGAAGAACTCTTAGCTGGATTTAATTACCTGTATACATATACTCAGTTGTTCACAAACAACCCGCACCTAAGAGAGTTAAAGATTAAACTCTCTGCACGTGTACGTAAAGAAATGCACTTTTCAGTTGTTCACACCCTATTTAAAGCCTCTCGGCTTGATTGTATCCCTCGATGAATATTCGCTGAATAGACTGAGTGAAAATTTCATTATTCTCCTTCATATTCTCTGACATTGTAATTATTTATTTTCTTCCTCCATGGCGGTATAATTATTCTTCTTTCACTTCTCCGCCAATGTTCCTCTTTTATTTCCCTGGCCATGTTGTTATTCTTCCTGCACTCCCTGGCAATGTTGTTATTCTTCCTGCACCTCCTGGCAATGTTGTTATTCTTCCTGCACTTCCCTGGCAATGTTGTTATTCTTCCTGCACCTCCCTGGCAATGTTGTTATTCTTCCTGCACCTCCCTGGCAATGTTGTTATTCTTCCTGCACTTCCCTGGCAATGTTGTTATTCTTCCTGCACTTCCCTGGCCATGTTGTTATTCTTCCTGCACTTCCTTGCAATGTTGTTATTCTTCCTGCACCTTCCCTGGCATGTTGTTATTCTTCCTGCACCTCCCTGGCAATGTTGTTATTCTTCCTGCACTCCCTGGCAATGTTGTTATTCTTCCTGCACTTCCTTGGTAATGTTGTTATTCTCCCTGCACCTCCCTGGCAATGTTGTTATTCTTCTTGCACTTCCCTCTCAGTGTTATTATTCTTCCTGCACTTCCCTGTCAGTGTTGTTATTCTTCCTGCACTTCCCTCTCAGTGTTGTTATTCTTCCTGCACTTCCTTGGCAATGTTGTTATTCTTCATGCACTTCCCTCTCAGTGTTGTTATTCTTCCTGCACTTCCCTGGCAATGTTGTTATTCTTCCTGCACTTCCCTGGCAATGTTGTTATTCTTCCTGCACTTCCTTGGCAATGTTGTTATTCTTCCTGCACGTCCCTCTCAGTGTTGTTATTCTTCCTGCACTTCCCTCTCAATGCTGTTATTCTTCCTGCACTTCCTTGGCAATGTTGTTATTCTTCTTCCACTTCTCTGTAAATGTAATTGCTCTCCCATTCCGTCTTCGACACTGATTATTTTCCCTAGCTCCTTGAAATTTAATTATTTCCCATATTCCCCGAAAATTATCTTTACCGCCAGATAATGCAATGCTATTATTGCATTTTTCTCCTCCGAGCACGTAATTATTACCTCTCTCATTGCCTAGTACTAACTTATTAGTCTCCATCACTTCTGACAATGTAACTGATTATTTTCCATTTCTTTGATAATGTAATTACTCCCCCACACCGCCCCTGACACTGCATTTATTTCTGTCATCAGTGGAAATTTAATTCTCTTCTTTTTCCCTGATAATTGAATTATTTCGCTACTCATTAGATGTAATCATTGTTAAAATCTTTGTGATAAACACTGCCATTTATGTTGGCAATTATGATTTGGAAAGATTTACCGAGGCAAAAATAAATTTTTTATAGGCTACTTCTCTGTAGCACTAAGCGGTTGATAATTGGAAATACAAAAAGTAAGATTTTATCTCATTGAAGTGCGAAAATCTGTTTCAAATTAGGATTTATGTTCTCAAATTAGAAAAAGTGTTATTGCCATACCATGTGCGTATCTCTGGGGTATACATGATGAAGGTTTAACTTATTCCCTATTTTAAAGAGCCAAGTATCGTTGACAGAGTGATGATCGATAGGCTTTAAATCTTTATTCAAATGGCTTACTGCCGACAGTAGCTAAGACTAGACACGTAGAAGCTTTGATTGGAGGAACCTTTCGTTCTATTTAAAACTTTATTAATCATCAAGTTAATGTTGTGTTAAAGCTTTATACAAAGAATAATATAATGACTTAAAGCATCTTTAGTAACGTGTGTATTTTCTTTATCGCTTTAAACTTAATAAACCATACATCGCCCTCTCAATTCTACCCTGTCAGTCATTTAACAGTGCTCCTTTGGTCTTATTTTAAAGCGTAAAACTTAAAGGTGTCAACTCATCTGGGACTTAATGCTCCGCTGAGGATGCGTAAACACAAAGAGCTCAGATATTGTTTATTTTTCACCGTGGTATTTTCTTTTTAGCTTTTTTGCAATCAATAGTTTATTGTGTTTTCTTCCTCAATAACGAGTGTCTGTGTCCTTCCTTCTCCAGTGTGACAGTGGTAGTGGAGTGGATGCCTTCTTCCACGCCATCTACACATCTCGGGCCAAAATGATGATTTTGCTGGGAGCTGCGTGTCCTGAAGTCACGGAATCTCTAGCATCGGTAGTACACTACTGGAACATTGTGCAAGTAAGTTAAAGTTGTACTTTATATCAGTGTTTTTTTTATGCTATAGGGTTAACAGGACTGGGGAGTTTAGTATATTATGCCTATTACATTCGTAGGGATAGGTAGGTAGTAGATTCGCTGGTATAATCACCCGACCCGGGTCTTTTCCAAGAGGTGGCCTGGCCTTGGCTCCCTGTCGTGGGAGTGTCTCAGACCAGTGTCTGCCATGGGAGAAGATACAAGTACCTCTTCGTCTTCTGGGACCAGCTGTCCCCAGGCCTAGCCCAATTCCCCGCCCCCACGGGGCTTGGAGGGAAAAGCTAGGCACCTTGGGCTGCCACAAACCCCGCCCACACTGGGCTCGAAGGGTGTGGCAGCTGCATAGCAGCAGACGCTGTCAGGAGGTGCTAAGGCAGCAAGCACTACAGGATCCTTTTGGAACCACACCCCAGCTTTGGGCATTAAGCCCGAGCACTGGGGAAGCATTCTTGATGCCTCTTGCTGTGTGTGTTGCTGCTGCTGCTACTTCACTTGTCCGTTGCACTCTGTATTCGTAGGGAACAACGTCTGGGAATGGGAGGTAATCAGATTCCTTGAAGGGTGTGGGGAATGTGGAGGATTGAGGTAGGAAACAATCAAAAAAAGAGAAGAGATAGGTAAGAAAAGTTAGGTGACCTAAACCCTTTGGGTTTGTTTTAGGCAAGCATTTTTTATCACAGCGACGAGTTTTGTGTCCATGTACCGATGAAGACTATTTACTTCACTGGAACATCGCATAGGTAAGTTAAAATTACACCTCGCAGAGTTCGTGGTAAACTGGAACATGAAGTAATAAGATTCACTCCAAGGCAGGGAAAAACAGATCCACTTCCATGGATGAAGAGCCTTTCAGGGGCATCAAGGTACCCTGCCCCCCTTAAAGGGTTTAATTTTAAGTGACGTAGATTATAACTCGGAAAAGCAAGATTAGTAGCATCATACTCTTTCTGCTGGAAGACCTTTGAGCAGAAAGAACTGTGTAATGAAAGAATTGAACCTAAAATTGTGTTGAATAGCAATATTGCCGGGAAGCCGAGGTAACCACTTTAAGGGGGCGCTCAAGCAGTGAATGCTGCTGAGGAAATTGTGAGAGAAGTGCAGGAGATGAGAGATCTTGGTAGAGATGTATAGACGAGAGATGCGGGTAGCTGGCCACGTTAAGGTAGAAGATTGTAAATTACATTTCGTGAAACTATAATCTCATAGGGGTTATTCATCGTAAGTTGTGAAGGCTCGACCCTCCTTCCGTTAATTGCGGCCCGGTCTATGAAAGCGCTAAAACCGTAAGGGGTCAGTGCCTAATGAATGGGAGGCAGTATGGCTTACTACAAGAAAGGGGCGAACAAGTCCTTGGATCAGGAGCGCCTCATCAGAATCAGTAAGGCATTTGAAATGTGGAGGAGAAAAGGTAAGGACCCAGTAGGGGTGAGAGGGGAAAGTAGGGATAGTTGAAGAACAGATGGGGGAGAGGAAAGAACTAGAGAGAAAGGAAAAGAGTCGGGACTAAACCCAACTGCAAAGGCATTGTGTAATTCTTGTTCTTGAATCAAGGATCTCTGGGAGATGACACAACCTGAACAAATGCAATTTATTTCCCATTGGCTCTTTACCGACAGTTTGTGAACCAATCAGAAGCTACTAGGTCATATCACTGTGCTACACCGAGAATACTTCTTATTCCCTATTGTTTCTCTTACACAAATAAATAATTTTCTCATGTACATAATTCGTATAGCAGTGATGGTAGTAGTAGTAAGAGTATGTTATGTTTTAATGAAAGTACTAAAACTGTGAAATTATGAGGTAAACGAAAGATAAGAATTGGATATATTCTAGATATTTCAATCCTGGCATTATCAGACGTTACTAGATTTCCTAACCAGTGTGTTGGTTTTCCTAGGTTGCGAAACGATATTTCGTGATTCGGCTACGTAAATGCTGACGTTCTCAATTCTACCATACACGTTGCGGCTAAAATAACTGTAGCTGAAGCCCGAGTAACTCAATTATGTAGCTTTTAAAAACTCCAGTGTATGTCAAGAAGCATTATCACGAGAAACATCACTTAAAACGAAGACTAACATTTTTAGCACACCAAAGAGTAACGAAAAATTCTTAGTGACCAATCACGTTGCACGCTATATGTCAACCGACCAATCACGTTGAACGCTGTATATTAACCGACCAATCAAACTTATTGTTCACATATTTACTATATTTCCTACTATCTACTCAACACCTAATTCAATGTCTTTCTGATCCTTTCTAATATTCACACACACAAAAAAATACAAATCAGTGACTAGGCGACTATTTCTAAATATTTCTCCTGTGTGGGCTTTAATTAAATAAGATGACATCGTATATTACACAGGTGTATATTTGTGTATGTACACTGAGAAGCTACTTTAATTCCTATTTTTTTTTGGGAGGGGTAAATTGTTTTTGAATGTTAGTGTGTAGATAATATGCAACTCAGAGTTACTAGTTAAGCCTACAACTGGTTCGCATTATATTCGAACCTACTCTGCAGTGTAGGTTCGAATCCTGCTGCGGACTGAGATATAATGTTCGTAAATAATTTCGCCCGTTTGCGAATTTTTAAGTACATAAACCAATGTGAGTTATTCAGCGCAAGAAAAGGTAGGAGGCTCGATCCTCCGTCCGCTAATCTGGAGACAGACGCTTCTCTCGCTGCCAGCAAGGCTAGATACTAGGTTTATGTATTACGGTATTGACTGAGGAATGAAATATGTTGTTTATTCATTGTTTCCTTCTCAGCGAGAAAAAAATATTTAATCCATAGGCCATAAAGATGAGGAACAAAATCTTGAACAAATATTTAGTAACTGGTCATTCTGCGTTTACCGGAGTTTTTGTCTCCATTTATTTCTGTTGTTTGCAGTATGTACGAGGCTATATTAATGGCTCATTACTCTAAGATGTAAATTTAGTCTTTTTAATATGTTGAATTCTTTAGTGGTTACAATAAGTTTCTGATTTTCATGTGAATAATACAAATATTTTCGTTAAGAGTTACTGACTGGAATTAATGATCAACAATTTAAAACTAATGAAAACATTACAGTAAATCAAATTTTCAGCGCATAATATACAAAACTATAATGTAAATCAAATAAAAGATACTTAAAAATAAATCGTAAAGAAATAAAGAAATGTTCTTGCAAAATTAAATCAATATAAATTAAACTGATAAGCAAATAAACTACTAGATATTAATATATTAGAGTTAAAATACACACTTGGTAGGTAGGTATAATGTTCGTGGGGAAACAGAACAAGTGTTTCCTGATGCGGGTCCTAGTCATATGATGACCCACAGCTAGAGTTTTGGTCATCTGACCGAGGGCTTACCCTGGCTTCCCGGTCCACCTCTTTAAAAATCGTGGTTATGATTATAACCATGAAGTAGTAATTTTGTACACTTAGTGCATATGTTTAATATGTTAGAAAAGTGTGCAAAGAGATCTGTGGCACCGCACAATGTGATTGGTCGGCTAAGATACAACGCAAAGCATGATTGGTTAGTTAAGATACACCGCGCAACGTGATTGGTCAAGAGTGTATTGCCGAGTACTGACTAGAATAAATAAGCTTGGGAGAAATTTTTTTGGTTATTCTGGACTGGTGAGTTTGATCATATGGTCGGTGTAATGTCAAGCCGTGGGAAAGCAGCTGGCGCGCACAAGCGCAAGACCTTGGCTCACCGCGCAGGTCTTCAGTTCCCTGTAGCCAGGGTACATCGCTACCTCAAATCTGCATATCTCGCTCCCCATGTCAGTGTTTTGGCATCAGTTTATTTAGCAGGAATACTGGAATACCTGAGCGCAGAAGTACTGGAACTTGCTGGCGACGTCGTTCGTAACACCAAGACTACTCGCATCAATCCTCGGCATATCTTGCTGGCAGTTCGTGGAGACAAAGAAATAAACTCACTGTTCAGTAATGTCACTATTCCAGAGGGCGGAGTTGTACCCCAGATCCATTCTGCTCTTCTGTCTAAGAAATCTCAAAATAGTCTGCGTGACTCGAAGTCTTTGAAATCCATTCAGTAATACAGTGCTCTTCATATAAAAAAAAAAACAAAATGAAAAAAAAAAGCTCCAAATGGAGCAAATTGATCTAAAACAGAAATTTTGGACAAAATTATTTAAAAAACTTAATACACTGGAAGTATAGACAAAAAAAAAAATGGTAACTAAAAGTAGAATATTTGTTAGTTATAAATCTTAATGTTAATTATTACTAGACGACCCACTAGTGTAGTCTTGACCAGATTTTATGAGATACATCAACTTTTCTCCACCCTCGCCGAATAACCCACAAGTGTATAGCTTTTTTGTGTCATACAAGTTCCCTAAATGCCTTATATTTTCTTAAATTTTTAATTCATACTAATCTACAAGAGAATCAAAGATTTTTTTAACTGTCAGACTAATGAGCAAAATTATTAGTCCACTGAGGGCGTAGTACGCAACTTGATTGGTCAGCTAAGTTGCAGCACGCAACGTGATTGGTCAGTAAGTTTTTCCGGCTGAAACTACTCTAAATATGTCGTCCCGAATAGGTAAAACTGCTCATTTAGCAAGAACTCATTTAAAATTAAGTCCTTTATAAATTTTTTCTTATACATTTAAAGATATACATTTTTTCATTTATGTTAATATAAAAATAATGATTTTGTACCAAAAGAACCTTAGGAAACTTATCTAGCTTTATTATAACAAACGTAATTTAATTTATCCTAATCCAATTAAATATACTTTATACAAGTTTCCAATAATTGAATAATAAACAAACACAATTAAATATATTTTTTTCGTTACTCAGATTTATTTTTTGTAGAATTACTGCATACACAAATTTTCGCTGCACTGTACTTCCCACTTGAGTCATGGAGATGGGAAGTACAGTGACTACACTCTGAAGGAAGGGTGTTAATGTTGCAGTTTTTAACTGGAGTGAAAGCGCGCCTATGGCAAGACAGTGATGGAATGAATTACGGTGAAAGTTTTCTTTTCGGGCCACCCTGCCTTGGTGGGAAACGGCCGATGTGTTTATAATATATATAATTATATATATATATATATATATATATATATATATATATATATATATTATATATATATATATTTCCTGTTTATACCTGATTATATTTTATCGAATGTGAAACTAAATGATACTTGTGTAAATTAAGGGGACAAAGAGAGAGAATATGAAGGGGAGGGAAGATGTACCAGCCTCTCGCCTCATCTAAGATGTAAGTGACCTGATTATTATGTCAAGAGCAGCCCTACCTCCCTTCCACCTCACCACTCTCCCTCCCATTTTTCTTTCGAACTTTCTCTTCCTCTCTCATCTTACCCCTCTTATTCTCCCACTTTTCCTCACCAGTTTCCTCTCTTTCACCTACTAACTCGTCTTCCCTATGCTCTGTAGACTGAGTGTTCCTTGATTGAAGGAAGTTAGATGAGGTGATAAAGTTAGTAAATTCTATATTTAGGCTTTAGATACAACTTTTTTTTACAGTGTTCTTGAAATGCACATAGATGAATAAATAAAGCGTAATAGTTGTGACATTCACGTGGCACGCTGACCCGAGAGCTCACAAAGAAATATAATATATATTATATATATATAATATATATATAATATATATATATATATATATATATATATATATATATATATATATATATATATATATATAATATATACACATATATATATATATATATATATATATAATACATATATATATATATATAATATAATATATATATATATATATATATATAATATATATTATATATATATATATATATAAGTTAATTTAGGTTAGATTAGAGATTAGGTTGGGTTGAATTAAGTTACTCAAATTATTTTTGACAGTAAATAAGCAAATATAAGAAGCCAGGATTTATCAAGCCATCTCAGGACATACGTGCCTAGAGGTGCAGTGAGTGTTCTTGTGGTATATACTCTGAAAACTCACTTTAATTCCTGTTCTAGTGATTCTTATGTTGTGAAGGATCATTAGGCTTTAAACACCATCAAGAAACAGAATATATACACCGAGAGTATTTCATAATATATATATATATATTATATATATATATATATATATATATATATATATATAATATATATATATATATATATATATATATATATATATATATTATATATATGTGTGTGTGTATGTGTGTGTGTGTGTGTATAAAGTTTAGTATTCTTGTATGGTGGTGAAAAGGTTATGCGCAGTTTAATGACCCAAGTATAGCCGAAAGGCTTTAAATTTTATTACCCAGCCATTATACAAGGGTAAATACTCAGAGGTATGTCTCTCCCAGTGTATGTACGCCAAGAGTTTATACTTGTATCCCTGTTTTAGAGATTAAAATATTATTGAATAGTGGTGAACAGAGCCTGTAGTACCTTGGCAGGGAGAGAAAACCATCCAGGGAGGTTCTAACGTTCTCTCCTCTTGTGTGAAACTGAAGCCTATTCAATGCTTTGCACACTGGCAAAATTTCTGGGCTTGTCTGTCTCATGAGCACATCCGATGAATATAAATCTTATAAAGAAAAATATATTGGAATAAACCTTGGTAACTGATACCGACAAAGTGGTTTAAAAAAGACAGGTGGTAAAAAACTTGGTAAAGTGATCACTTGAGCACATCGTCTACCTGTAATCCCAATATGTCATTCTTCACGTCACTATGCATCACTCACACCTCACTCTCCACATATATATATACTGTCTTTTTAACCTCTGTATTGAGAGTGAAATGGACAAGTGAAGCAGTAGCAGCAGCAAACACACAACAAGAAGCATTCTTGAGCTTCCCCACCGCTCGGGCTTCGCCCCAAACCTGGGGTGTGGCTCCAAAAGGATCCTGTAGTGCATGCTTCCGATTCGATTCGATTCTTATGACCAGAGCTTTGGTAAGATGGAAGAAGGATGGGTAAGGATAGAAATATTGGAAAAGGGTAGGAGGGGGGGAGTGAGGTAGGATATAAAAGGTGGCACAACCACTTTGGTGCAATTTAAAAAGTGTATGTGAAATAATAGAATATTCTTGAAGGGGTATAATACCAACCCATCAGAGTCACATAGATATAACAGATATATAGGTACATGACTCTGAATTGCTAGTAGATATACAAGTTGCAATTGCTTTTTTTTGCGATTGCATAACGAATATTTAAATGACAAGACAAGGCGGTAATCTGGACAGTTCGTAAAGAATGCTGCCTTTGCACCTGACATCGTCTGCTGCTACGCAGCTGCCTCACCCTTCGAGCCCAGTGTGGGCTGTGTTAGAGGCAGCCCAAGGTGCCTAGTTTCGGGGCGGGGAATGGGGCTATTCCTGGGGACAACTGGTCCCAGACGAAGAGGAGGTACTTGTTTCTCCTCCCATAGTAGACATCGGTCGGAGACACTCCCACGAGAGGGAGCCAAGGCCGGGCCACCTCTTGGAAAAGGCCCGGCCGGACGATTATACCGGCGAATCTACAACAACAATCTCTGTATGTTAAAAGTGATCAAGGTCCCAGGACCCCACACATTTTCGAATAAATATGTCCTAGTGTTTGCCAAAGTGTCTTTCTAAACCAAAAAGACAGGTGAGCAACCACTAGGACATTAGAAAATGCTTCGGTCCTGGAACCTTGATCACTTCTAACCAAGATTTATATTGCACTGTATGTACCATAATTCTTGTTTCTGTAATCTTTGCAAGTTAGAAGGCCTGGTCGGAGACGGGGCAGCGGAGACGATGATCTTGGAACTTTTAGAAGACATAATAAATATTACCTAAACTAAAATAATTAGACAAAAAAAAATGTCGGGAATATGTAGCGGCTTTGATCGTTCAGAAAAAAAAAATCGATGTAAATGAGGACAAGCTGCGTTGGACAAGTGAGGTGAGCAGCTAGAGGAACGAATGTGATTAGCCACAACCCATTAGGGTCGTATCGTATAACTAACTACTTTACCACATTCTCACCTTGTTTCCGGCTCGCCTGCAAGCAACATGTGAGCAAATTATACTAGAGGGACCTTTAAGGACGGTGAGGGAGAGGCCTTAATGTAAGTGAAAAGCTCCTAATATTTCTGTGGGTCACTGGCCCCTGAGGCCTGATCCCAGATCAGGTCCCCTCGTTGCTGGCTTGATCAGCCTATTTGTGCTTGCAGCACGTATTTAACATTAACACCACAGTCTGGCTGATCAAGAGCTGCTGGAGTGTGTTGGTAATTCCGCTTACTATAGAACTATGGCCGCAAAGATCGCCACATCTCATTACACAGGATTTCTTCCTGGGGACATTTTAAAGATCATTGAATAATGCACTCGTGGCTAGAAACTACAGGAGCTAGAGGTCAACACTAGTTATGTAGTTTATGTACTACAGGAGTTAAAGATGAACACTAGTCACACACACACACACACACACACACAGTGGAGCAACAGAGGAACAACACCCAAGGCAGTAATAATCACGCGAGGAATGCCAACACAGCACCCGAGGAGCTGCTATTTATAACTGTTTTTTGTTGTCTGGAATTAATTGTGTACGAAATTTTACCAATGAGCTTTAACGCGTGGGGTGCCGTGTTGCCAACACGCGATGTTCTCATTAACTAATGTGTTACTTCTCGTCAGGATGAATGAACAGCTCGCGTGGGAGGGTAACCCACGCAGTACATTTTTTCCCCATTTAATCATAGCAATTATTGTGGTCAAATTACAATTTATAGACATAATCGTGCCCAAGATTAATGTTTCCTGTCTATGGAATATTTCCTGTTAATATGTAATGACGAAAATTGCTCTCAATCGTCTATAAAAACTTAAAAAGATGTTCACACCTCCATAAAACTCCATCTACACTGCACATATTCGGCCCCTCGTCACATACACACCACTTGCTCTCGCAGTGACTGCCAAGACGAATGCATTGACACGAAGAGTGCAACGGACAAGTGAAGTAGTAGAAGGAGCAACACACACAGCAAGAGGCATTCTTGAGCTTCCCTAGTGCTCGGGCTTTGGCCCAAGGCTGGGG